TTTATGCAGAATTCATTTCGTTGTTTTCCCTTAAGGAGAAAGGGCATGAAAACTCAAAGTATTTTTTGTGAATTTTAAGATTCTTGTAACTAAACAGTAAAGCAAGATAAATTTATTCAAATTTACTAAAAGGTGTTAGATTCTAATTTCAGAATTCATTCAAAATTGGAAGTATTCTTAGCATTCATTTTATCGACAATATTCACACCACAAACAAGATACTTGCGATATAGGGTTTATCAAATGTTATGACTCAACTTACATTCGTTCGTAATGTTTTTCATATTTAGAACCGTTTTCACTTTCTTTCAATATTCTTCGCGTGTTCTTTGATCATTTTATCTTTCATTTTTTAAATACATTAAACTGGCGTTTAAATAAAGTATTTACTTCCTTGCGATGAAGAATACGAAACAGTTTCTATTAATTACTCATTATCGTAAATTCCCATTTCTGAACATGGGGATGTAATTTTGAATATAAATTTCACCAACATTAAGCATAAATTGCATTATTATATTTGACTTGATTTTAATTTTATATAGCATAAATAGGAATAATCACAATAATATTAGTTCGTATACGATCGAATAAAACAAACAATGAAGGACCTCCCTCTTCTTATGGCAGATTATAATCTTAAATAACTTATATTTATTACCTTAGGGAATAGAACAGTTGTCTTGTTTCAGTATAAAAAAACGTAAATGGGATAGCATAACTTTTCAGCTTACGTTGCTTAGTCTTTGCGATTCGTATTAAGATGTCAGTCCCTACTCTTAAATAAACCAACTAAAGATGGTTATTTGACTTTATTAGCAGTCTGCAATATAGCTCGCTAGATTTAAGCTAAGCAATAAATATAACAGCTTAAAGTAATAACTTTTCAGTAAAATTGAATTCATAGCTATCAGATGTAAACAAAGAACTTATATTAAACACCTATTTTAAAATTTCGTAAGTTTCTACTTTCTTGGAAAATGCCAGAACATGTACCTTATAATTTGTGGGTTGTTTCATCCGTAAAGTAGATAAAATATCTGAGTAATGTAAAGATTAAAACTGATAAAAGCACTTCCGTGATGTTTTACCTAACGTTTCAGTGTAATAATTATGCATTACACGAAAAATATTGCACTCAAAGTATTTTTTGTGAATTTTGAATGCTTGTTTTTATTTGCTATGCTTAACGAAATGTAAGGATTACGAATGCGAGTCCTTCCATTCGCAATTATTTACACAATTTATGATATATTTATGATAATAAATATAAGTTACTTAAGATTATAATCTGCCATAAGAAGAGGGAGGTCCTTCATTGTTTGTTTTATTCGATCGTATACGAACTAATATTATTGTGATTATTCCTATTTATGCTTCATCGCAAGGAAGTAAATACTTTATTTAAACGCCAGTTTAATGTATTTAAAAAATGAAAGATAAAATGATCAAAGAACACGCGAAGAATATTGAAAGAAAGTGAAAACGGTTCTAAATATGAAAAACATTACGAACGAATGTAAGTTGAGTCATAACATTTGATAAACCCTATATCGCAAGTATCTTGTTTGTGGTGTGAATATTGTCGATAAAATGAATGCTAAGAATACTTCCAATTTTGAATGAATTCTGAAATTAGAATCTAACACCTTTTAGTAAATTTGAATAAATTTATCTTGCTTTACTGTTTAGTTACAAGAATCTTAAAATTCACAAAAAATACTTTGAGTTTTCATGCCCTTTCTCCTTAAGGGAAAACAACGAAATGAATTCTGCATAAATTGTGTAAATAATTGCGAATGGAAGGACTCGCATTCGTAATCCTTACATTTCGTTAAGCATAGCAAATAAAAACAAGCATTCAAAATCAGCCATGAATTTTTCAACTCCATTTTCCTTTGCAAGAATGATAAGAACAAATATTAGCTATTTTGACTCAGTTTCGATTCCCTTAAATGGATTATGTCATACATGAGTGGACCGACTGCGTTGGAAGAAATTGCATAACGTAGAAGACTTTGAAAGGTAATTCTTTGATGTTTAGGTTAAAAGAGTTGGAAAAGCAAACCTTTCACAACCATGCCTTTTCGCCAGAAATCCAATTTGTGGATAACACTAGTAGTGTTGAACTACGATGTCTGTTCAGCTGCCACTGCATCCGAGTTCGAACGGAATAATCTTATTTAATTTTGCAAGTCTAAGTAACATATTTCAGTACGAGATGTACATTTAATCATTTATAACTTTGCTTTTTGAAGTGCATTTAATTTTACTACTATCTGTTCTCCCACTGTAAATCATTTCCATATGGTTGTGAAACCAAAGAACAGCATAAACGGGAACATTTGGCAACATGGAGTAATTGAATATTGCCATGCTTTGTAAAGAGCCTAACAAAACATTGCACTAAATCTCTATTCGTTCTATTAACATTATAATTCAGATATTTAAATTCCAGTTGAGAAACAGTTAGATAAAAATCTATTAAAAAATTCTGGTATTATAAACTATTTGCATTCTATCTAGTCACATAATTCTAGTTCTTTATATAATTCATAGCGATACTATGAATTACATAAAGAAGCAGCCAGATGAATACAGTGAATTTTAAATGGTAAAATAATAAAGATTCAAGGGCATTGTTGCAATCGCAAGTACATGTAAATATTCGAAATCATTGCCCTTCGTTGCAATTAAGCATTTAAGTAACTCCGAGGAAGTGAATAAAAACAGAACCGAAAATGTTTCGATATTTAACGCAAATTGTTAGGGTTCCCAATCTTTCTTGCTTTAAGTATCTATCATTTTAGTACCATTATTAATAGAAAGTGAATTAAATCTTCCACATGAGAGAAACTGCAGAGTTATATTCTTATCTGAGGAAGGAATTACTGACGAACAGACTGCTACACTTCAAGTGACAGCGTACGTGATTGGATGAATGCAGACTATGCTCTCTTCAAAATCTTCTCATTGGGCACTGATTTTGGCATTTGTTCTTTTTTTTTTAAATTTCCTATCTAAACTTGCATGACAATTCAAGCGCTTCTATTAAACTAAATGTCTCGAGTCGTCTGAATTGTTCCTCAACAGGATTCTTGGACCAGAATGAGAGACTTTATAACCTTCGATAACTTCTAGTTGAATTAAGAAATACCACTGCTAAAGTAGCAACGAAATTTGTTTTTGAAAAATATTCTTTTAATATTTTCATTCTGTTAATGAAAATTGTACGGACTGCAAGTAAGCCACAACGTAGCACGGTAAAGTGACATGAAAATTATGGCTAAAGATAGTAAATGTTTCATCTTTGGGAACATTTTGACATTAAGTGGCAGATTTTTAATATTAAATATATTACGCATTAGTATCATCGTATTTTTAAAAATGATACTTTTTATGTGCAAAATGCATATATTTTTACTGCTTGAGATTTGGACGTTCACTATGAATCCATTTGGAAAATTATAAATATAATTTTATTAAACTCCATTTTGTATCTGCAAAACCGATATGTATACCACGATTCGTATTATACACGGCTACGTGAGGAGGAAGCTGAACGAGAGTTTTCTGTTTTAAAATCTGGCTTTCATTATACTCCACAATGTTTCATTGCTAGTATAGTAATAAGATTAATAAAAGAGAACATTTTAAAACAGTTACATTTTACTAAGAATTTCTAGCCTCCTTATTTTGATAAATTATTTCAGACAGTTTACGAAAACTCTAAATTATTTTGTTAATTGAATATTAAATTGAAATATAGAGAAAGGTTTAAAATATCTTTTACTGATTGAAGTTTGAATAACATAAAATAAATCAGATCAAATTTTTAAAAGAAATCACTCTATGTTACATTTTGTTATATACATTAAATACTAAGTAACAAATGTCAAAAATATTTCAGTGTACTCTTTACTGTATTTTCTGCATTTTTATATAAGAAAAATGCATAGGGCTAAAGTTATATGGATATCATTATCCAGAGCCCCAAATACCTGGAAAGCTTGTTATTCTTTCTGATTCATATAAATTCAAGCTTGTTGCTAATTTATTTTAAAGTTGTTTAATTTACATTCATTTATGTAACACAGAAAGGTAATATTAAAGTATGCATTTTTTAAATAGCTAGTGCTTTAAGTCTAGATATGATCCGGTTATTGGCTTACAACAAAAAGAGAGTTATGATCATAACCAATAAAAATGTTAATCTCACTTAATTCCATTATATGTCCTTACATTAGTACAAAAGCAAAGTTGTAATAAGTTTTCATAAATCGTTTTTTGAACGTTGTTTTCGTTATGCTCGTATTATAAGCATTTATTGACGCTATAAATGACAGTATATTAAAATATAATTGTGCTACCATTCAAGCTGAAGAACTACTGCCTTAATATACACTAAACTACACCTTTTACTTTATTAACATTATCAAAACATTTTGTTAAAATTGAGATATTTAAATGAAGTCATCAAAAATTAGATTACATCTCGCTGTATGAAAATTACTGTTTTAAAGACTAACACAAACACATAACTTTTGTAAAGAAACTCTTTCCCATATTGTCATCAGACATTAGGCCCACCAGCGGCCTAGCGGTAAAGTCGCTGAACACTGGTAGCTCGGTCTGACATTCGAATCCCGCGAACGGGCTGGCTGCATGATCTTTTTCGTGGTTTTCCCCATGTGTAACGTGTATACGAGCCAGTTTACCTTAGAAAGTCCTCCACGAAGGCATCCCTCCCCTTAGGCAGATAGCCCTCGAGGCTTTGCCATAATCACACACACACCACACACACACACTAATAGTAAGTTGAAAACGATTCAACTCAGTTTAGTTATACATTCATAAATGTCAGATTATGGGGAACATTTATTTCCAGGTTTAATAGTCCTTCTTTATTCGAATTTTTTAACCATTTCGCCGTCCTCGCCTCTCCGCGAAAATTTCTCCCCAGTGGCCCTTTGTTTTTCGCATCGTGTAATGTTTTCTCTGTACATACGCTTCAGCAGTACATATACTAAAATTGAAACTATACAGAGAAGATTAGCATGGCCCCTGCGCAAGGATGGCATAAATTTCGTAGTGGATGAATGCAAATGAATATTAAGTGAAATTATAAGGAAATAAAGCATAACGGAAAAGTAATAATATCTGCTTATTTCTAACAGCAGGATTAATTTGATAACATCTGATCCAGGCGGTCCACTCCTCCCATTTTGGCCCACCAGCGGCCGAGCGGTGAAATCGCTGAACACTGGTAGTTCGGTCCGAGGTTCGAATCCCGCGAACGGGCTGGCTGCATGGGCGTTTTCGTGGTTTTCCCCATGTGTAACGTGTATACGAGCCAGTTTCCCTTAGAAAGTCCTCCACGAAGGCATCCCTCCCCTTAGGCAGATAGCCCTAGTGTGCTTTGCCGTATTCTCAATACACCAACCTCCCATTTTGTTGTAATCTTTTACAATTATTGGTTTTTTTACAGTTCTTTTCCGTGTTTCAACATCAATCATAGAGTTATTATGGACTATGCTCATAAAACGTATAATCCGTCTTGTCTTTCCAATTCCCAACCTCATTTTTTCTCTTTTTCTGTTGAGTAGACGTTGAAGATCTCTTTCTCTGTCTTGTATCTTATGTAAAATGGCGGGAATATTCATAAACCCGGGGGGAGAATTCAATTAGAAATAGAATGTCTGATTAGTACTGCCCTCTAGGAGGTACTAAACAAACAAAAATAAAAACTCAAACAAGTAAACATTTAGAAAGCGTTTTAAACATTTAAAAGTTTTGAAATATAGAAGAACGCTTGAAGCGCGTTACGGCCGCCCTGCAGAAGTTTCACTTGAACGCGCTAGACGCGTTACGGACGACGAAGAGGTTAATATATGACAAATGCAGGTAATTTCTAGACCATTTTTATTACAGATGATTACAGAGAATTTTGAGTAATATTTTTTTAAATTTAAATTGAACTAGTTTTCAGATAAAAAATTATATCTTTATATATTTAAGAAATTTTCAAATGTATTAATAAAACTTTACTAGCATTGCATATTGTAAACAAATATAGAGCTTAGGAAGTAGATAATTGTGTAATAAAAATCTTCAAATATTTAATTGCGTCATATAGTTAGAAATTAAAATTATTGTAGTTATTTTGTATTTAACTACACACCATATTTTTAAACAGTATCAGTAGTAAAATATAATATAAAGTTTCAAAATTGAATCTCGGAATTTAAATACTAATCTTATCAGAATAAATTTATTAAGAAATTTAAACAACGTAGAGAATTCATCAATTCAATATTAAGATTTGTTTCAATAAGCATGCTTGTCTCTGTTTATTTCTCTTACTTGAATTCTTTTTATCGCAGTATATTTAATTAAAATGATTATCTTTTTTACGCCTTCCTTTTTTATCTCCTCTTTTAGTCTGATAATTGTTAGAAGTTCGATAATTGGAAATTTTCGAGTAGTCAAACTTGGTGCATGCTGCAAATGAAATTTATGATACATGTGTGTGCGTGTGTGTGATTATGACAAAGCCTCGAGGGCTATCTGCCTAAGAAGAGGGATGCCTTCGTGGAGGACTTTCTAAGGGAAACTGGCTTGTATACACGTTACACATGGGGAAAACCACGAAAACACCCATGCAGCCAGCCCGTTCGCGGGATTCGAACCTGGGACCGAACTACCAGTGTTCAGCGACTTTACTGCTCGGCCACTGGTGGGCTGAAATTTATGAAAACTTAGTATTAGGCTTTCTTGATAATCTGAATTTCTTCGAACTATTGGGTAGTCGGATGTTTTACAAACAATGTTGAAACAATTTCTAGAAAAGGAATTGTCAGATATTGCTCCCAAACCGTCTTCGTAGAATTTTTCAATATCCTTTTACGAGTTGGGGTAGCTTTGAATCATTTACAAGAATAAACTGCACTCTTCCTTTTGTGCAGTAGAGTTCCTGTTAAACAATCTCAGATTAAACAATGCACTGCAAAAATTTAATATTGCAAAGTTTTAATATTACTAATGGCAGTCACACGAGAAAAATTATTTGGAATTTTTTTTCTAAAATAACTTGTTAAATTTCACATTGCCACTTTCCTCAGTGTTAAACAGAACATATTTAATTTCCAATAAATTTTCTTATAGTGCGCGTCATAATGAGCATTTCTTTCTTTTTGTTCCTTGTGCATTAGCACTGAAGGCGTAATGAGTACGTTTCCTCAAGCACAGAATTAAAGAATCATAAGTCAAAAATTTTAACTACGAAATCTTTATTTAATAAAAATAGGATAATTCTACTTAACTTAAGCATAACAAAAAATAATGTTCACGGACATTAAAATTGAAGTATTCAAAAGAATAACTTACATAGAATCATCATCAGTACTAAATATCACCAGGCTTACCTATTTTAGGCAATAAAAAGGAGAAACACGAACATACTTTGTCATCGTACCGGAAAGAGAAGAAAGTACTACTTGATTAGACCTTTGGCCAGGTACAAGTAGCTAGGGTGAAAATCGAATATACTGCATTGCACACGAACTTTACTTTCTCTCGCCAACATATATCTTGGCGCACGTTCGTTTCGTATGCCTTTCGAGTTTCATTATGCAAAATACCTAAATTTATGCTAACACTTTTCGAATGAAAAACCTGGTGTGATGACTGTATACCGCATTGATGACTCTGCTCCATGTGCTAACTGGGTGTTGGTTGCGTTTGTTAAGGTTGCTTATTACTTATCATATAAAGAATTATAATACATTTAGTATAAATCTATGAGAAGTTTCATTAACAATACTTAACAACATTGAAGGTGTAGAAATAATCATTGTAGATTATTGTCCTCTTTATGTGAGGATCGAATAGGCGGGAAGAGTCTCTCTTGTCGAGAGTTTAAGAACATTTCGAGTTCTTGCCTTGAATAAAACAGTTTACAGACTGAATTAATTACTCCCTCTTAATTTTTTGGTTGAATTTTATGTCCTCTCACTCATTATCATTGAAACGATATCAGAGGCGCAACAGGATCATTGGCCCGTCAGTATCCATGAAATCGAGAACTTTGGTGACAGACACAGTGCCAAAATCCTTGGCCGTGAAGTTATGGTTCTTTTAATAGCAAGTAGAGCCATAAATGAACGCTTCTGCAATGTCAGGGCCTGTGGTTACACACCCCATAACAGCTGAAACACTGGGACCTATGGAGCACAGCACTACATGAATTTCTTAGCTTTGTGGGATCCGTCGTGGTTTTCTTCATGTTTAATGTGTATATGAGTCGGACATCCTCAGAAAGCCCACCACGAAGCACGAAAGCATCACTTCTCTTAGTAAGATAGCCCTAGTGTGCTTTGATATAATCATATAAGTCAAATCAAACAAAACTTTGTATGGTCCGCCCGCAAACCTTTTCATATTTCATGACAGAAGATAAAATTACATACTCATTCAAAGTGTAGTAACCAGCTTTTTTTCTTTGCTAATGAAAAACGTTTTCATATTTCATAATTGAAGACAAAATTACATACTAATTCAAAGTAGAATTACCAGAGTTTTTTCTTTGTTTCGTAGTCTTTATCGCGTAAAATTTAATTTAAAATAAAAAGTAAAAATATAAAATTTTAAATAAAACGTTTTTCGTCCAACGAAGGCATTTTAAGAACTAATGTTCAACAGTTAGGTGTGATTCGATATTCTTCATTATTTGTCTACTATTTAATCCCATTTGTGTGGAATAACTGAATTACACTGGTGTGCAAAAATTAAGGACGAAGTCGAAAAATTAGCATATCAGCTGAACGAAGAGGCAGAGCGGACAGAAAGACCAATCAGGAGATTAAGTAAGGTGATGTACGGTAGCACATGCGCAGATATGCAGCTAGACGTAATGGGGGAGTGTCTGAGTAATATAAAGCATGTTGTCGGTGTAAGATCAGTATTTCTGGCAAAGAGATTGCACGCCATATAGCAGTAAAATCACACCGAGTTGCTGCCTCAGCGAGAAATGGCGAATAATCAATGTGTTAGACGACATCTGGATGCTTTTACCCGAGGTCGAATCATTGGGAAGTTGGAGGAAGGCCGCAGTGTGACAAGTGTGGCTGCAGAGTTCGGAATTGCTCACAGCATCGTTTTCACGACTTTGGAGACAATTTCAAACTACAGGAACAGCTATCGGGGGTTTAGTAGTGGTCTTTCACGAGGAACCACACCCGCAGATGACCGGTATATTGCCTTACAGGCCAGAAGAAACAGGCGGCAGACAGCGGGAGAAATCGCTAGACACACGACACAGGCGACTGGACGACCGATATCGCGTTTTACCGTGGCCAGAAGACTGCACGGTGGTGGTCTGTTTGCACGACGCCCTGTACGGTGTGTACCTCTAACGCCTGCCCATCGGAGAATGCGTTCTCTGTGGTGCCGTGAACACCGGAATTGGAGAGACAATGAATGGGGACGAGTACTGTTTACAGATGAGAGCAGATTCAGTCTGAGTAGCGATTCTCATCGCATACTCATCTGGAGAGAGCGGGGAGCCGCAATCATCCCTCGAACATCATTGAAAGGGACAGGTATGGAAGTGGCGGTGTTCTCGTTTGGGGAGGCATCATGCTTGGTAGTCGTAAAGACCTTCACATCTTCGACGCAGGTTTAGTCAACGGGACCCGTTATTGTAACGAGATTCTTCTTCCATATGTGCGTCTTTTTAGAGGCGCTATGGGTCCGCAGTTCCTTTTCATGGACGACAATGCACCATGTCATCGCAGAGTAGCTGCCGAACAGCTCTTAGAGAGTGAGGATATTGAACGTATGGATTGGTCGGCACGATCTCCGGATCTCAATCCCATCGAGCATGTATGGGATTTTCCAGGCAGACGCTTGGCAGCTCGTACCTTACCACCAGTAACGATTCCGGAGCTTCGATTGGCGCTGCAAGACGAATGGGCAGCAGTGCCTCAACAACTCATTGACACCCTCATTCTCAGCATGGGCAGACGTTGTGAAACCTGCCTAGCCGTCAGGGGAGATCATATCCCCTATTAAAGACCGGATGTTTCTTGCTGGACACCCATCACAGGGATGT